GAAGATATTCCGGGGGGGGGGGGTGCGAAGGTCGGGCTGCTCCCTTCAGCCACCCACCTACCTGAGCCCAGCTTGCCTCCAATAAGCCACCATGACGGCTACTTGTTCGAAGAGGTCGCCCGCCTGAGGCCGCAAGGTCGCCCAGTCGAACAGGGGTAGACTGGTTTGCCGCAATCTAACCCGGAAGCGCTGAGAGATCCGGAAACGGAAACTAAGTCGACCAATCAAAACTCACGTCCCATCGATGCCCCGGTCGACTAACGGTTTATTTCCCCATCCATCTCGTTCTATAGGGGAGGGCATTAAAGCTATCCGAGATAACCAATCAGAGCTCAGGCTTCTACGGTTCGGCTATTTTCATTGGTTGCGTGGTTCGATGAGCGTGAAATCTATCCTCTGTCTGGATTCTCTGGACTCTGGAGGAATCTCAGAATGTCACCCACGTGGCTCTACGCCATCCTCTTGGGGGGGGGGTCAAAGCGCCGCAGAATTTGGAAATTTTGAGTCGTTGGTGGGCTTCGTTTCTTATTGTGGCGATTGCAATTATTTTTCTTATCATGTTTTATATCTTTACTTAAAGATCAAATTTCTACACCACCCATCTTTATCCGAGCGACCCTGGGCGGTTTAGAAATAAAAAACATACCGCGATGTAGAAAAGGGAATTAAAAACGAAGTTAAAATTGCCGGTTAAAAAGTTACAGGCGGAGGGAGCGCTCTCAATCCACCAACCACCCCCAGGTTTTGCATACCACTTTTATACACACGCTAATTGGCAGAACCTGGATATATGAAGGGAGGGCATTATGGAATTCGGTTTCAATTACCCCATATATTCTTAAACATGTTTTGAAAAATAAGGTGACCCACCGTCCTCCTTTAGGGAGGACAGTCCTCCTTTTGTGAGTTCTGTCCTCCCTTGAAAAGTGTCCTCCTACATGTTCTCCTTTTTGATATTTGAAGACTAATCTACAGGGCTTTTTTTTTTTCTCATAGAACGCTCAGAACAGCATTCCGGCACCTTTTTTTGATGTTTTTTTTTTTTTAACTTGCATGAGCTGTGCTACTCCCCCTATTGGCTTTCGAAAGCCAATAGGAATTGCTGCTGAGCTAGCCAAAGCACCCAGCCCATAAACTTTGCACATGCAAGTTGTCTGCAGCGAAGGCGAATTGGCAGGAACTTTGCATCCCTCCCTTCTACCCAACTACACCATCTTCTAGTTAGTCCCAAAGATAGCGGGGGGGGGGGGAGACTGGAGTGGTAAGTTTCTCTTGATCTTCAGCTCTGCTAGGGCAACAATGGCTGCGGGCGCAAGAAGCAGGGGCGGCTGGGGTGCTGCGGGTGGGGGGGTGTGAGGGGTGGCAGCACCTGGCTGCCCACCCCGTGCTGTGGGGCCTGCTCTACAAGGGGCTATGCAGGGTGGGTGGTGATGCTGGTGGGGCAGCTGCAGGCAGGGTGTGTTGATGGCAGGCTGCCCCCGGGGCCGGAGCCGTTGCAGCTGGTGCTTTGGGAGCCACAGGGCCCGCTCTACACGGCGGGGTAGCAGTGCTGGCAGGGCGGCTGTGGGCGGGGGCGCAGCATGTAAGCATAATTACAATATAAAATGTTATTGTTACAAATGTTTTTATTATGCATTTATGATATTATAGTGTATTCTGTATTATTGTTGCAATGAATAAAATGTTTCTTTTATTTACGATATTTTTTTCTTCAATTTATTTGTGTCCTCCTTTTCATTGTAAATAAGTTGGTCATCTTACGAAAAATAATGTGAGCGTTTTTAAATAGTTTTTCTGTCCAGACGTTACTATTTTTAATAACTCAAAACAGCGAATATACCCTAATTATTCCTTCGTCCTTCCATTTCCTCTGCCATGCCAGTCTTGTGGGTGAGTTGGGATGAGACAGATTGTCCCTTGGTACTCGACTAGTGTTAGCTGAAGTGATTGGTCCAGTCAACCCAGCCAGCTTTCAAAACCGAAGTTCGGGTCCATGTATTTTCCTCATTAGTGATGTTAAATTGGAGCTGCACTATGTGTTTAGAATTAGTAATTAGAGTAGGGGGGACACGATAGCGGTATTCCAGTATTTGAGAGGCTGCCACAAGGAGGAAGGGGTCAATTTATTTTCCAAAGCACCAGAGGGAAGGACAAGAAACAATGGTTGGAAATTGATCAAAGAGAGAAGCAACCTGGAATTAAGAAGAAAGTTCCTAACAGTGAGGACAATTAACTAGTGGAATAGCTTGCCTTCAGAAATCGTGGGCACGCCATCACTGGGTTTTTTTAAGAACTGGACAACGACTTGTCTAAAATGATATAGGACAGTGATGGCGAACCTTTTAGAGACTAAGTGCCGAAAAACTGGCCCCACCCCTGCCCCACCCCATTCCACCTGCCTGCCCACAGGGCCACTCACCGCCTCCAGGGCCTGCCGCAGATCGCCATGGCAGCCACGCCTTCTGCCGTGTCCTGCAGCATCAACTGTGTGTGTTGGGGCGTGAGGGCAGAGTCTTATCTATGCTGCCTGGTTGCCATGTCCTTGGCTGCGCTGTTCCACGTGGGCCACGCTCGGGGGCAATTCTCCAGGGGGGTTGCTGGTGAGGAGGGGCTCGTGGGGGGAGGCAAGGCTGGGGCAACGGCACGTGCCCACATAGAGGGCTCCCAGTGCTGCCTCTGGCACCTGTGCCATAGGTTTGCCACCACTGGTATAGGATCTCCTGCTTGAGTGTGGGGCTGGACTGGAAGAATTCCAAGGTTCCTTCCAGCTCTATTCTGATTCTAATTCTAATTAATTATGCAGTGCTGATTACCACATTTTTTCTCTTTCTAAACTCAGGGCTCAGCTTATTTTGGTGGGGACCAGTGATCCTCGCATATCTTAATTAAAAAAAAAAAGAGATCTCCATTGCTTTGCTTTGCATTTCAGTAAAGCTGCTTTTTTTCCATGACAATAGAATAACTACCTGGGATCCTAGTAGATATATCCATGCCTGAACATTCTGTTTGACTTATAGTAGTACTTCCCAAACCTGGGTAAATTATCCAAAATTGGGTAAAAGTGCTTGTTCATTAGAAAACAGTACAGGAGCCCATTACCCAATCATAACAGAAACATTTAAATGGACTTTTTAAAATTGACATTTAAATAATAAAGTGTTTTACCTACATTGGGTAAAAAAGGCTTTCTGATTATTGGTTTTGGATTGTAAAAAATTGGGAAGGACTGAGTTGGATTGACAAGGCATTCTGTCAAACCTCCTTTTTGTGTAGCAGAAGATACTTCTCCAAAGCTATTCTATCCTCCAAATTTAAGAAACTTATACAATTGTTGAATTATAAAGTTGGAAGGGACCAGAAAACCTCTGCAAGGTTCAGGAAAATTAATTAAATTAACGACAAGAAGTGGACATCCAGTCACTTCTTAAAATTCCAGATGTGGAAAATACATAATTGTACGTAGACTTCCACTATTGTCCAGATCTTGCTGTAAGAATATTTTTATCTATTTAAATAAAATGTAGGTACCTGCAACTTATATCCATTATTTTTGGTATTTGTTTCTGTGGTAATACCTTCCCTACAGCATACTAATACACCTCTTCCGTCAATTTTGTTCACATTGAAATTAAATTTTTTCAAATTCCAAATTAAGAGCCAATTTGATTGATATGACTAGAAACTGGGGGAACTGAAAGTTTTACAGATAGTCCTAAACCAGTGGTGGCTAATCTATAGGCACGGGTGCCAGAGGCGGCACTCAGAGCCCTCTCTGTGGGCACACGCACTGTTGCCCCAGTCCTAGGCTTTCAGCTGGGTTTTATAAAACCTTTTTGCTTTAGGCCTCTGCTGCCGTGTGCAAAAAATCCAAAAGGTTCAGTCAATTTCAACTTCTTGAGGGAAAAAAAAAAGATCTTGCAAAGTTGGAATTGAACTTTTTAGTCCCACCCAGTCTGCCATTACCACCACAGCCACACCCAGCCAGTGGGCCATGGCCACCCAGTGGGCCACACCTAGCCAATGGGCCACACCCACCCGGCACTCGATGATGCATAAGTGGGCTTTGGGTTGCAGTTTGGGCACTCAATCTCTAAAAGTTTCGCCATCACTGTCCTAGACCTAGACCTAAATTGAGACTGGAATTTCTGTCAGTGTCTTAGGTGAAAATGCCTCACTGGGATACTGTTATGGTGAAAATAAGGAGCATTATATTTGTTGTCCTGGGTTGCACAGCCCTGTTGATTAATCCAATTAATCAACAGGGCTAGGGATCAGAAAGTGTATCTGAGCCCGTACAATGACTGTTAATTTGTTACAGGTGAGCTTATGTTGCTTTTAAGTATTGTTAACTGCCCAGAGACATGAATCTGAGATGAGTGGCCATATAAACTGAAAGAGTGAATGAGTAAGTGAATGAATACTCATTGCAGCCATTAATATAGATCCGGGGTGTCAAATTGCCGGCCAGCGGGCTGGATGTGTCATGCTGAAACCGCACCCACCTCATTGCCCGCAGTGGAAAAAAAGTTGAAATACATCGTAACACATCACGTGACGTTGCGAGTTTGACACCCCTAATATAGATTCTCAGAATGAGTAGCGAGCCAGTTGTGGACCTTTCGTATAGGGCCAAACAAATTACACTTTAATGTCTCTTTAACAAACTACACTTTAAGGTCCCTAATATTGCTAATGGATTAGGAAAAAAATTAGAAAAGGGCTGATTGGGTAAAACAAAGAAAAGCAATAGTCATGCATACATAATTCAAAATAAAAAGGAAACTGAATATATGTAGAATTTCAGCAGACTGCCCACAGGCTACCGCTTTGAGTTTCTTAAATGTATTAGGGCTTCTGGACAAGACAGATCCTCCCCCCCACCCCTTTGGAGTCTGTTTCTATTGCCTGAATGAGATCTTCTCCCCATTCACCATGGTCAACCTGGGTGGCTGCCGTTCATTTCTCAAGGAGTAGGATTTGACATTGAATTAAAACAGAGATTAGAGTAGCAAACATTAACCTTTTTTAATAACATTGTCTCTATAAAATGTTTTTGCAATTCGTAAAAATGAAAAGGACAAAACATAATCCAGTAGAAAAATATTTTAACATTTAAAAGCATCAGTAAATGTTTGCAAGCACACCTCATCTCACAAGAATCAGTACCTTCTACTGAAAAGTTAACTTTTAAAACTAGTTTCAGGTCCATATTGTAGTATATACAGACATTAAGAACAAAATATTCCATGCTAAACACCACAGATGAAAGTATTAAAGGAATCAGAATTCAGAAATTAAGATATGTCGACAACTCATTAGTTCTTGTCATATATGACAGATACCAGAGTTCTATTATTGTCCTGCTCATCAAAGATACTTTGATTTTACATTGTACCTGTATCAGACACAAAACCCTTTTGGGTTTTCCAGTTTTTGAATATATAAATACTCCCCTGTGAAGAAAGAGATTTTGAGGTTGGAAGTGAACTATTCTTTTACCTGTGGAATTTAGATATATTTGCTCTGAAGTACCTAGACTTCTGTAGATAGAAGGTAGGGCAGTATGGATATATAGCAAGGAACAAAACAAAATGTGTGTACGTGTGTGTAAAGAAAAAGAAATACAATTTAAGAGACTTCGGTTGTCTGGAGTACATAAATCATGATTATGCATTTTAAAAGGGAGGGGTGATTTCTACTTATGAATGTAGTTATTATACAATTTCTGATTCTTAGAAAACGTCAGACCAAAATGAATAAGTTCACCAAGTTGCATTGTTCAACAATTTAACCATCTTTACCAAGTAGAGACTTTGAAAAACAGAAATTGTAAAATTTTGTGTTAAGCCACTTTTAGTTCCTGTCTAATTACATAGCACGCAATTTCTGCTACGTTCAGAATAGTTTTCAAAATGATGGAGCTTCTGTAAACATGAATGTTAAATAACAAACTTCTCAGGTCAACAAATTGTAACTTTCACGAAAACAGCCTATAAAAAAGCACTTTAGATCATAGTTCAAGTAATAGTTGTTGTTCTTCAAAGCCAAGCCCTGTAACAAACTACTCAAAATCCTGTGTCCAGAATATATTCTACAATCACACGAACTGTCTTGAATGCCTGCAGTCCAGTTTAAGGAATGTACAATTCAACATAAAGTCATGAATGTTACCTTCAGGTACAGATTTAGGCACGTTCTCTCCAAAATTTTAATTTAAAAATCTAAACTACAGATCTATTTTTAAATAGTATAAGAATAAATATTTCCAGCTTTGAGGAAGCTTGAAAGTGTTCCTTTTGAATTTTCTGGCCTAACAACTTGGTGTAGCTTCTATTCTTCCACAAAGGCTGCTGCTGCCATTGGAGTTCTCATATTTCCTCTCGCTGAAGAAGTGAATTCTTCTATTTCAGCATTAAGTTTGCTGATTACCCACTCCAATGCTTCACGTCCCTGTAAAGATACACATTCTTCATTGAAACAAGTCCAAGTATCTCAGAGATCATAGTAATTTACAGAAATGAGAGTGATCATAAATGTTAATTATATTGGTATTACTTTAACATTTAGAATCACCAGGTTAAAGGGTGTAAAGTCTCTATGTTGTATTCAGAATAAGCTTTTTTTTAAAATTGTGGTGGTTCCCAAATTCAAGAACATGGTCAGCTGATCATATTTCAGTAGCCATTTTTTTTTTTTAAAAAAAAAATCTGTTTCCTTGGGCTTTTGGAAGCATTTAATATATATTATCTATTGGCAGCAACCTTTTGTTTTTATCATGATACATTTTGATCATGATGTGAATACCATGAACACCTTGACTCAGAAGGAAATAAGGAAAGAGAAGTCATGCATAGAGTCATGGAAAAACAGGTCAACCCAAAGGAAAAGCTATCCACTGGAAATGGGGAAACTGATGAAAAAAGATATCACATATAACTATCTTGCTGTTCAAACTAAATAGAGATAGCTTAAATAGATAATATAATATGAAGGAAGAATCTAAATCAGGGGTCCTCAAACCTGGCCACTAAGACTTGTGGACTTCAACTCCCAGAATTCCCCAAGCCAGCCTGGGGAATTCTGGGAGTTGAAGTCCACAAGTCTTAAAGTGGCCAAGTTTGAGGACCCTTGATCTAAATTGTGAAAAATTCCACTAGGCCACAAAAGCTTCTTAGGTTCTGTTGCCTCTTACACAGGTGTGGGCAATAAATTTTCCCAAGGGGCCACATGAGAAACTGGGACTGTTGTGGAGAGCTGCTGCTCCGCCCTCTGCTGCTCCTGCCCCCGCCTTGCCCCCCACTGCTGTGGGCCAGACAGGGACCACCCATGGGCCAGATGTAGCCCGCAAGCTGTAAAATGCTCAGGACTGCTCTTACGGGGTAAATATTTGGGTTAAAAATTCAGCAACGTGCATTTCAGCATCACTTGACAAATATGTTAATTATGAAATATCCACATTTCATTTACTAAAATGCTATTTAGGCAGTCTATTCTGTATGAATGACTCTGTTAGTTACTTTTGCAAGAATGTTTCTGGCCTGATGTCATTAATTTTGATTGTAATGCTTGAATTAAGAAAAGATCCAATCTTCTACCTCAACACTTCTCAAGATAATTCTTCATAATACGCTTGTTATGCTTATCACCTATATCAGGGGTTCCCAACCGGGGCTACCCGCATCCCCTGGGGATACGAGACGATATTCTGGGGGTGCAAAAACTTGGGTTTTCAAAATTATAGTGTATATGCATAATTCGTTGCCGTTATTTTGAACTTTTGTAAGGGGTGCGAGAATATACCATACGCTTTCTAGGGGTGCGGGGTATAGAATAGGTTGGGAACCGCTGACCTATATGATCAATATTGTTATCTTACTTTTCTTTTTAATTTTTGTAAACATTGTGTCAATGCTGCTAATATTGGATATTCTTGTTTTGACAAAATATGCAGAACTGTCTGGTATTTTTAGAGTTAACTTAGATGATGCTGGGAGAGGAGGAGAAAGAATGTGTATAGAGAGTAATTACAGGGGCAACCAGGAAGTGAACCTTTGCCCCCAGGCTGATTGGAGAACCTGATTTATGACTGCAAAATAGCGGAGGGGAATAGGCAGGAATATTATGTGCCAGGGGAGGGGAATTTAGTTCTTGGCATCCATCCATGCCGTGCTGACACTCTGTTACACAAAATAAAGACTTTTTAGGATAAACAATGCCTGGAAGTTCTTTGAAGTGTTTCATTAGTCGGAACCATGACACATTGATTAAATGGCTAAAAGTAATATATTATCCAAACAGATTAACTGCGAAAAAAAATCTGTTACAGCAGAGGTCCCCAATCTTTTGGGCACCAGGGACCGGTTCCGTGGAGAAAGTTTTTTTGGCGGACTGGAGGGGACGTGCTTTTGTGTGCTGCCTGCATCTCGCGGATGGAGCTTTGCTTGTTTGTGCGGACTGGTTACTGGCATGCCACGGACCGGGGGTTGGGGACCCCTGTGTTACAAGATAGTTTAGTCTTCCAAGCTTTTGGACTTCTAGTATGAGAGAACTTCCATTAAGGATGAGCTCCAGCACGAGTCCAAAAGCTTGGAAGACTAAACCCTCTGGTCCCAATGACTGACCCAGCTTGGATCCTGTAACATTATCCTGGGACACCTAAGTTTGCCTTAATTTGTGAAAAAAAATCTGTGTTAACCTCACAGGTGAATTACTTTCATTAGTAATCATTCAGGGTATATTCAAGTTTGAAATAGGTAATATTCATAAAATATAGCACAGCCCTTAATAAGCTCTTATTTTCATTCCATCCCAACTTTGAAAGCAGAAATATACTTTGCCCATCTGCCTTGCTAGTTCTCTAATATAAATACAATAATCATCCATATGGTTATTTTTCCAATATTAGCAGTAAAGTCACAGCCTCTGTGAAGATTTGCGTTCCCTTTTCATGTTCACAATTTTCAAGTTCACATTTTTTGCAAAGTTTAGATGCTCATCCACTATTCTCTCCTGTCTTCTCAAAGTAAGTTAGTAATACATACTTTTTTGGCATTAGAAGAAATTGTATTTTCCATTAGTCCTTCTAAGTAACTGCTGAGACTAACTCCTTTTACACAAATGGTTGCTTCTTGAGTCAAAATAGTTCTGTGGAAAAAATGACAATAGTTTACCAATTTATTTCTCAAAATGTAATAAGGAGCTATTTCATTCTTTCTATGTCTATAAAAAATTCCACATATTACAAGAACAACCAATCAATTTCCACAGGGATAAGAGTGTTCATAGATACACTAAATAGTAGGGAATGGGCAACCAATAATCTCAAAATTGCTTTAAACCCTAAGGTGTGGGTGTGCATTTCTGTGTTTGTGTGGATGGTTCTTGGAATTCCTTTTGACAAAGATTACTGAAAACAGTACTGTTTTCTGCCATAATAATATATAGTACAGGTAATGCTTGACTTATAACTATTTGTTTAGTGACTGTTTAAAGTCACAATGGCACTGAAAAGTGACTGATGACTGTTTTTCACACATACAAGAGCCGTGATAGTACAGTGATTAGAATGCAGTATTGCAGGCTAATTCTGCCAACAGTTCGATTCTGACAGACTCAAGGTTGACTCAGCCTTCCAGCCTTCCGAGGTCAGTAAAATGAGGACCCAGATTGTTGGGGGCCATATGCTGACTCTGTAAACTGCTTAGCGAGGGCTGTAAAGCAGTATATAAGTCTAATGCTACAATCATTGCAACATCTGCATGGTCACATGATCAAACTTCAGGCACTTGGCAACTGACATATATTAGTCCAAGTATATTGAGCAGTATTTTGATTATTTTTAAATGAGCTACTGTTATTTCATACCATAAAGATAAATAGAATAAAATTCTGAAAATACATTACTTACTTTTCTGGCTCTTGAGGATGTGGCTTATAAATTAGTCTCTCATCTACCGACACCAGATTTGTAAATGAAATCTACAAGAAATTTAAGTGTCAGCGTTAAAAAATAATTCAGTGAACACAATTCACTTGTGAGACCATAATTCAATAAACATAGATTACATTGGCTTCCTCAGATACAGATTTCATTGTACTTTCTCATAAGACCACATGACACACAAATGCATTATGATCTATAACTATAATAATGAAGTAAACCATTTCACTTGGAAGGATACCATTTTAGAAAAGACAGTCAATTTTACAAAGTACAAAACAGATACTTCCTGAGAAAAACCTGAACTGCTAAGGACTTCTGAAGAGATATTTGGAAGTATGACATTACAGGAATTAAGTCTACGAGAAATGTTTAATTTCATTTTTTAAATACTTACATTAATAGACTTGAGCTCCATTGTTTTCTCAACTGGGTCAACTACAGAGTGCTCTTGAACATAGGTTCTCATTCTACAAGCACCAATAAGCTAGAAGATAAATATAGCATTAGCTGCATTGTGACATAAGCAGAGCATCAAAAGCTGAATTACATTATGCTGTTTCGAGGGCATGAAATAAGAAACAATCTAGAATTTTTCTCCTCTTGCATCGAGTTCCCCTTCCATAACGGTTGTTTTAAAATATAAATTGGATTTTCCTGCTTCTGTACCCTGATTTAACCGAATCTCTTTCAAATCAAATATGTGAATCAAATGCATACACCCTTAATACTTATGCAAAATTCAATCGTCCATGACATGCCCTAGCCTAGATATATACCCATGATGGAGGAATGGGTTATAAACATGGGATAGAAGGTTAAGGAGGGAGGACAGAAAGTAAGCTTGTAATTGCTGCAAAGGAAATGGAAAGTCACTTCCTTAATTACCTTTTTCTTTTTCTAACTTACTTTTCATACTTTTTCTTTTATCTTTCCTCTTTAACTTTTCTTTATATACTTTCATATTTATCTTATCTTGCAGACTTACTGCAACTCTCTCCAATATTTTCTATTCAAATTCTACAGAAATTAATCTATATACTATTAAAATTCTTCTGTTTGTCACCTTCAATTACTCCAAACAGTGCATCATAGTGCAAAAAGATTTGAATCAAGGTACTTCAAATCCACTAACTTAAAAGAATGCACACAAAATGCAGGACCCATTAATCCAGGGATCCCCAACCCCCAGTCTGTGCACTGACACCGGGCCACAGGATGCCAGAAACCGGTCTGTGCAAACAAGCAAAGCCCCATCTGCGGGATGCAGGCAGTACAAGAAACCACGCCCCCTCTGGTCCGCGGAAAAACTTTTCCACGGAACCGGTCCCTGGTGCTCAAAAGGTTGGGGACCTTTGCATTAATCCCATATAACTGAAATTTTAAGGATCTTCACACCAATTGTATTCACAAACTTGTGGCTGCTGCAACTTTGCCACGGTTGCGTGAGTGTGGTTTTCTGTATTCTCTGCCAGCTTTCCACAAGCAAAGTCAATGGGAAAGCCAGTAGAAAGTCAAAAATTGCTCCCGCTCCCATGCTTTTTCACCTGCTTGTGGTTATTCTGTTTCTCTGTTTAAGAAAGGAAGTATTTCTGAAAGAAAGACTCAGTGGGGTTGTGCGTTGTCTAGTATAGATATAAATGTATAGAAATATGTAAGTTAATAAATATGTATTTATAACCACCATTTGTTTCTCAATTTATAAAACTTTTCTGCATTTAAACTGACATTTGTATAAAAATCGTTCTTATGTGTTTGTGTTGCTAAAATTGAAATTACTTGACCAACTAATTTTCATGCTATCCAAAACAGCATAAGGGATGTAATCTGAGGAAAAAAGGAACAATAAAGCAATTCAGTTTTGCTCTAACATGCAGTTGTTTATCATGTAATAGGAACAATGAATTCATTCATCAGCTATAAAGAGCTGCTGCACAATCCAATGTACCAGTCACCTTTATTATAAAAAACTAAATGAATATGCAATAGTAACTCTATGTGAGAATTTGGTCTATTCAAATTCTGAATACTGCTCAATTATGGAAATATCTACTTTTGTAACTTAAAAAACAGAAATTCTAAAGAAAACATAATGCAAAATGCTACAATGTGGACTGTAAGCTATATTTTGTAAAACCAAAGTTATATGACAAACATTCAAAGAAAACTTTTGAAAGCCCTAACTCTTGGTATGGCACTTACCGATTTTACAATTGAGGGCATTCCCCATTCTGTACTCAGCAGCCGGTGGCTATGTAATTTTCCATTAGTATCTACATGACGGTCCAAAACATCAACTCCAACTACGCTGGGATTCATGGGATTGGGGTATTTCTGCATAGCAGCTGTAGTAACAGTCTTCCAAGGGTGACTATAAAGCAAAAACAAAAACACAAGGATGACCATTAGGCTACATAATGTATGGATGGGCAACCATCAATTACCATTTTGTTTGTTCTTCGTGGGTCAATTTTGGGGACACTTTTGAGACTTTTTCGTACAGTGAATCGCTGTGTATCTGTCATACAAAAACATCAAGATTGCTCACTATTAGTGGATTGAATTGTGTTTTCAAATGTTCCTCCAGCTAGCTTCAGTACAGAACGCCATACATATGTGAATACGCATCGCTTATTTTCATGCGCATTGTGCAGCAGCCTCTACCCATACCGTGGTGCGCTATTGGCCAGAATGAGCAGTGATGGAGGGTGGAGCGCTTCTTTTGAAACATCGCATGCTGAGTGGCTGTCCCCTGTGACATCAGCTGTAATGTCAATGTAACTGTTGAAACTAGGTTTATCGATATCCACATCTTTTTCTAATGTTCCAGTGCAGTCGAAAATTTAGTTTGCAGGTAGTGCCTTTCATTTCGAAGACCTCTCAACATGGCCGATAAGAGGAAGTGTCACCAATATTCGACGGAATACCTAAAATTGGGATTCATTCCATCTCCTTCCAACATACAGCTTTTGTTTTGTCTTCTTTGTGAGAAAACATTTTCAAATGAAGCGATGAAGCCTTCCCAACTGAAAGACCATTTGGTAAGAATTCATTTGGATAAAGCCGACAAACTGGCATAGTTTTTCCAGTCCTTAAAGGCCAAGTTTGAGGGTTGCAGCACTGTTGGGAAGTTATTTGGAAAATCGTCACTCAATGCCGACAAGGGGCTCATTTGTTCCTATGAAGTATCTTTGTTGATAGCAAAATGTGGCAAATCTCACACTATCGAGAAACGCTAATTTTACCAGCAGTGAAACAGATTGTTGCCACCATGTTGGGGCCCAGAGCAAGCACTATCATGTAATCGATTCCTTTGAGCAATTACACCTTATCAAAAAGAATTGATGAAATGGCTGCTGATGTGGAAGAAAGGCTTATTGACACTTTGAAAAATACAGAATTCGTGATGCAGACTGACGAGTCAACGATTCATGAAAATGAAGCCTTGTTATTGGCTTATGTCCGTTTCATCAGCGGAAATGAAGAGATCGGGGAAGAACTGTTATTTGTTCGAAATTTAGCCACCGACACAAAAGGTTCTTCGATATTTAAAAAGATTGAATAGTTTTTTTAATGAGAGAAACATCCCTTTGATATCGGTATGTCCCGATGACCATTTTAAAGAAAACAAAAAAAGTGTTTGCATAAATTGAAGAATTATTTCCTATGTTGTGATTGTGAGGTTATGTTGGGGGATGGGACAATGATAACTTCCTCATTGGCTCAAGGGGGCGATTCGTTCAAAAAGGTTAAGAACCACTGGACTAGATGACCTCCAAGGTCCCTTCCAACTTTATTATGATTATTAAAAGGTAATACTGTAATTCCCCAGGACAACCATTTTGTCACAATCACACTGTAAACAAAAAAACACCACTTGCAACGACTGAAAGCTAAATCCTAGCATTGTTAACTAGAATTCCTGTGATTGAGAAACGGCCAAGCTCCTCTCTTCCGCGTTTGCTCCTTCTCCCCTCTTTCTTTCCCTTTACCGATCGCAGCGTTTATAATCAAACATACTGTACGTTTGAACATCTGTCCATAAGGGCAGGACACGGGAAAAGAAACAGAGAAACTCTTGCTTTCTACAAAAGAGAAGCAACCTTTGGAAACGAGGTGCTCAGACAGGGGGGCGCCCTTCGCGGCCTCCCCAAAGGTTGTTCCTTCCTTCCTTCGAACTCCCCAACGGGAAGAAAAGGAGCCGAGGGCTGCAAAGCTTCAAGCCTTCTCCCGAGCAAATGTGGGAGGCTCTGACTCCCGCGAACACCCCTCACTCGGCCTGGGAGGATGATGGGCCCTGCAGTCCCTCGCCCTGGGGGGAACGCACGCACCACCTCCGCCAAGGTCAGCCCTGGCGGATTTACCCGCGCCCAGAGACGCGGGGAGGAATGAGGAAGAATGAATGAGCTGCCGAGGCTGATGGCCGCAGGCGAAGACCAACGCTCTCCCCGGGGGTCGAAGGACTGTCCAGCCTCCACGGCTCCCCCGCCGGGATGGAATGGGAGCCTCCGTTACCCTAGTGACCCCGCCGCTGCGCCCCGGTCCATCCCCCACCGGAACTCCTCAGACGCCTCGGCCACTCACTCGAAGGTGTGCTCCGAGGTCCAGATCTTCATCGTGAGGGCGGCGGTGCTTCCTCCCAACCCTCTTCGGAGACGCTTCCTTCGCCAGCCCGCCGAGACTGACCAGGAACTCGCGGCGAGGTAGCGGCGCAGAAGAAGCCGGGCGAGGCGGAGACCCAAAAGCGCCTGCGCGGCTGGCCCGAGGAGAGGTCGCAAACGAGTGGGTGGGGCCAAGCCTCGGGGAGGCCTCGGATAGGGCAGTTTCCTATTCAGGGCCGGTGACGTCAGAACAGAAATCAACGTTCCTTTTTTTTCACCCGGCCCGTTGAGAGCGGTTCCCGGCTGTGCCTGTGTGAAGAGGTAACGGTCTCGCTTAAGCTTGGGGCAGAGCCGGCCGGGGTTGCGAGGAGGCGAGATTCGCGACGTCCCTTCCTCCCCATCTTGCTATTATAATAATTATTCCATTAATAATAATTCCATTAGCAGCACTGTGGCCCTGGGAGCCTCAGTGAGATGGACAAGAAACTTCCATACTTTAAGTTTCATCTCAAGCACAGGTTAAGTAATTGTAGAAAAAGACTGTTTCAGCAGTTAGAACCAAAAATGCAATACAGGTAGTCCTCGACTTACAACCATTTGTTTAGTGACTGTTTGAAGCTATAACGGAACTGAAAAAATTGTTTTTTCACACTTGCAACTTGCAGCATCTCTGTGGTCATGTGATCAAAATTTGGACACTTGGTAACTGTCTCATATTTATGATGGTTGTGGGATCCCGGGATTATGTGCTTACTTTTTGCAACTTTCTGACAAAATGGTGAAGCCAGATTCACTTAACAGCCTTGTTATTAACAACTGCAATGATTCACTTAGCAACTGTGGCAAGAAAGATCCTAAAATGGGGCAAAACTCACTTAACTGTGTCACTTAGCAATGGAAATTTTGGGCTCCATTATGGTCCTAAGTGAAGGACTACTTCTATCAATGAAATAATATTTGTAGCTCAAAGTTGATGATGTTGCCTAGTTTGGTGATGAAACGTTTGGAAGAAAACCACCAAGCTCAGTGAGCACCAAGTACCCCATAGCCATTTGTCCGAAATGGTATAGGGTTTCCTGCCTGACCAGAGGGTTGGACTCAATGATCTCCAAGGTCCCTTCAAACTTCTTCTTCTTCTTCTTCTTCTTCTTCTTCTTCTTCTTCTTCTTCTTCTTCTTCTTCTTCTTCTTCTTCTTCTTCTTCTTCTTCTTCTTCTTCTTCTTCTTCTTCTTCTTCTTCTTCTTCTTCTTCTTCTTCTTCTTCTTCTTCCTCCTCCTCCTCCTCCTCCTCCTCCTCCTCCTCCTCCTCCTCCTCCTCCTTCTTCTTCTTTATCATCATTATTATAAAATGCTATATATTCAAATCAGTCAGACACACTACCATTCTGATATATACACAACAATAAAAAGACACTGATCATATGTGAGGCTTGAACAATACAAAACATTGATTCTAGGTAACATTCCACAAGTGATAAATTAGAGTTACATTTCTCTTTTCCAACTGGGTTTGTATCTTCCTTAAAACTTGCAAGTATATCCAAGGACTTTCAGAATAAGGTCTCTATTGTTTAGTGCTGAAAAAATAAGTTCTCACAAGCTAAAAAGAAAAAAAAAACATGTTCCCCTGAAGTTAGAAAGGAGGCCTAGATTGATTGTTAAAAATGCTAATAATAAATTCCAGGTAAAGCTTTTTTAGGTTTTTCCAAATTAGGTGCATTCCCTAATAATCTCATTCAGAATTGTAGCATTGGAAAGGACACAAGGATGTAGTCCAGGGGTATCAAACTGCTAGCCCGCGGGCTGGACACATCATGCAGAAGCCGTGCCCATCCCACTGCTGGCAATGGCAAAACAGTCCTGATACGTTGCGCGATGTCACATGACGTCGTGAGTTTGACATGTCTGATGTAGTCCAACCTTCTGCAATTTGAGCTACATTGCTTGCCTGTTTACTTCCCAGTCTAAGATGCTGGCCAGGAATTTTAGGCTTCATTATTAGCATTTTAAAAAGTGATATTATCTATTACATCTGCTAGATATAGTATGTCGAGTCTCAAGTGTTGTCTCCAAACTCAGGCACCCACCTTGTGGAACATTCTTCCCCCACCCAAAGTTATGTGAGCTCCATCTCTGTTAATGTTTTGGAAATCCTCAAGACCTGGTTATATCATCAGGTCTGTGGGTCCCAGGGAACTGAACATTTGTTAGATGGCTGCACTACTGAAGTGGATATACTTGCTCTCTCTCCCCATGCCTGGGGTTGATATATTTTCATTTTAATAATATTTATTTTTTAGTATTAACTTTTAATATTTGTGTTCATTTTTATACACGCATTTATACACACATTTTATACACACATCTAACAAATAAATGTTCAAGAAAATCAAATCAGCCCTGAGAGATGGCTGTTCAGCCTTTAAAAAAAAAATCCAAAGCTCCATGGCTTTCATAAGTAGGTTGTTCTGCTGTCCTAGAGATCTTACCTTCAAGATTTTCTCTCATGAAAGTTAAATAATCTATCCACGGTGGCTGATAGTAATGGAAGGGCATTTATTTATTACCGTTCTAACATTTCCATTTATTTATTATCATTCTAACATTTACCACCAAAGGCTGATATTTTCAATATGCTTTCTCTTGGAACCATGTTTTTACTATTATTTTTAATAGAAACTTACCAGGGAAGAAGTAGTAATTGTACATGATGAGATGAAACTTTTATGAAAGTTATACATAACTGTAGTCTTACCTATCTGAAAACACTAAACTGGGAAAATTTATTCTTAATGAACCAAAACCAAGCTTGCAATATACCATTTCCTTATGCAATTCACCACCCATGGGGCAAAAAGGCAAAATATTTGTAATTCTCTATCATTGTGAAATTGCAAATAGCTCCTCAAATCAGCCTCTATGATTTCTTTAGTCAGCTTAAAGTATCTCTCAAAGCAAACAAGGTATGGCATTAATCCACCCAGAGCTCAAACTGTACCTTATCAAAAAACTTAGTTTTTTTAATCATAATCTTATTAGAACAGTACAAAGATAAAAAACTAATATAAAGTAAGGAAAATGTAAAAAGTAGAGGAAAGAAAAAAAGAATGCAAAGAGATGGAAAAAAGAAAATAAAAAATAATATGTAAAAGATGACAAGTATAACCTGTGGTTGTGCAGCCCTCCTTGGCGGTACTCCTGAACATTATATACATGGTGGCTGATCTTTCATCCATCCCAAAATCTTTGGCATTGCAGGCACCAATCTTACATTGTTTGAGGTAATTTTCTTCCTGGCTAAATGGGGTGCAGCTAGGGCCAAAGGAGCATTCATCCATGGAAATCTGGTTTTATCATAACTTTTGTTGAAAGATGAGATTATGCAAAACATTTACTATTGTTGTAGCAGGTTAATGGCTTTAGGGATGATCAGAGTTCTGGAATGTTTCTCAAGGAATTGAGTTTCCTTTGGATGTTTTGATTTATAGAGCACCATTCCTCAGAGAGTTCTCATAGCAAAATTGGGCCACAAAAGCATTCTTTTCAGTTAAGCTTGCTCTTTTTCTGACTAAGGTATCACTTGAGTCTTGTAAATTGGGAAAATGGGGCTGTGTTTGGATATAATTACAGAATATCTCTGCTGCCTCAAGGCAGTTGTAGCAATCCAAAGAAATGGACCTTGTACACCCTGGAATCATATTAACAAATCTGAGGTCTCAGTAATGAAACAGAATATCCAAAAATAGCAGGATATTTTTCTCACCCAGGAGCAAAATATTTTTTGGATTGTGAGCAAATACTAAGGAGTTGCTCCAATCACTATTCAGAAACGTGCTCACCTTGCTTCTTAAAGGAGACACAATCTGACTAAAACAGACCAATACAATTGCATCTGAGGAAACTAAAGGAAAGATTCAAAATCTAAATTTTGCTGTTAGTCACGTTTCTTATGTGCTATAAGATGTTCTATACCTGCTAATATTTTGTGTAATTCCTTTGCTTGGATTTGAACTTTGGATAGACAATTGTAATTCTCTCCAACTGAGTAAGCTATTTGGTATCAGTGTTATTCATAAAATAGGTAATTCACACATTCTTCAACATCAATTTTGGTCACCACGATGTAAAAAAGATGTTGAGACTCTAGAAAGAGTACAGAGAAGAGCAAAAAAGATGATTAGGGGACTGGAGGCTAAAGCATATAAGGAAAGGTTGATGGAATTGGGTGTGTCTAGTTTAATGAAGAGAAGCACAAGAGGGGACATGATAGCAGTGTTCCAATATCTCAGGCTGCCACAAAGAAGAGGGAGTCAAGCTATTTTTCAAAGCGCCTGAAGGCAGGACAAGAAGTAACAGGTGGAAACTAATCAAGGAGAGAAGCAACCTAGAACTAAGGAAAAACTTCCTGACAGTTAGAACAATTAACCAATGGAACAACCTGCCTCCAGAAGCTGTGAATGCGCCAACACTGGAAGTTTTTAAGATGAGACTGGACAGCCATTTGTCCAAAATGGTATAGGGTTTCCTGCCTGAGCAGGGGGCTGGACTAGATCAGTGGTTCTTAACCCTTTTGAACGAATTGCCCCCTTGAGCCAATGAGGAAGTTGTCATCGCCCCCTCCCCCAACATAACCTCTCATTCACAACATAGGAAATAATTCTTCAATTTATGCAAACACTTTTTTTGTTTTCTTTAAAATTGTCATCAGGACATATGATGCAAATAATTTATTTCCAGTCTTTTTCACATATCTCAACTGTGTGAAAAATTTTGGTGCCACCCGTCACTTTATTCCCAAACTTCATGATACATGCATTTCATTATTATCTTATTTATTCAAGACACTTAAATGTAATGACCACTGAAAACAAAATTCAACTGCAAGAAAGTGAAATGCCCGAAAAGAAAAACAGTAACATTTAATGATTGAATTACAAGTGAAATTTAAGATGCAAAAAGAAATATAAAAAGGGAATAAGAACAAACCACAATGCAGGAACTAAGAATTTCAAGACGAAAACTCTGAAACTAAATTAAGTATATATAGTCACACAAACTGTAAAAAGGATTAAAAAGACACAAAGAAAATATAATATTCAACTGGAGTGCATGCTAAAGTATAATACAAAGAGACACACAAAACAGCATGCGATGTTTCAAAAGAAGCGCTACCCCCTCCATATCTATCTATCTATCTATCTATCTATCTATCTATCTATCTATCTATCTATCTATCTATCTATCTATCTATCTATCTTCAGTGTTATCTTCATTTTAGATGTCAAAAGGGTCTCTCTTTCTCTCCCTCCCTCTCTCTCCCTCCCTCCCTCCCTCCCTCTTTCTGCCCTTGGTCTGCCAGTCCTCTTCCCCCACTCAGTGTGTGTGTGTATGTGTGTGTGTGTGTGAGAGAGAGAGAGGGAGAGAGAGGCACTTGCGTTTCCTCTCTCTCTCTCTCTCTCTCTCTCTCTCTCTCTCTTTTTTTTTTTTCTCTTTCCCCTCTCCCTCTCTCTTTCTCTCTTTCCTCTCCCTCCTTCTCCCCTTCTTTCTCCAGATGAGGAGAGAGAGAAGAAAAGGTAGAGGGCGCCGAAGGGGTGGGGAGGGGGGCAGGAGGCAGCAGAAGACCTCCTGTCACAGGCCATCCCATGTGCTGCTGGCATCCCCGGGCTGAAGTCGGGGACACGGGGCATCTGTGGAATGCCCCGCCTGTCGGCTGCATCACCAAGCCTCCCCTTGCGCCACTGGGCTTAAGTCATGCTTCTCCCAGGGGGCGGAGCACCTGGGCGCAGAGCCAGTCAGGAACCCTGCGAGGGGGCAAATCCGCATGAGAGAGAGAGAGAGAGAGAGAGAGAAGCACAAGTGCCTCTCTCTGTCTCTGTCTCTCTCTGCAAATGGTGGAGGAGGCTCAAAGCCGCAGGGGAAGGCTCAAAAGTGTCCCCAAAACTTCTCACTCCATTGCCCCCATATCGCCCCCTTTTCGTTCCTTTGCCCCCGCATCACCCCTTTTCGTTCCATCGCCCCCCTTGAAAAATGAAATCGCCCCCTGGGGGGTGATATCGCCCAGGTTAAGAACCTCTGAACTAGATGACCTCCAAGGTCCCTTCCAACTTTATTATTATTATTAGAGTATAAGAGAACATACTTTAATAGGACCATCTTTGCCTGGCTTCTTTTTCACAAAGGAATTGGATGTTTATATATAATACAGGCTGATTTGATAAAGGAATTATTGTGTCTCTGGGAGAGGCTCTCTGCTAAAGGAAATCAATGAGGAGCTTTGTTTGCACACCCAATTTTTCAGAAGCAGAGCAGTTGATTCTTCCTCTGCAGGCCTATAAAACCTAAATTATACAGCTCAACAAAATTTTGATCTGATTATTCAAGGAATATTTTGAAGAACTGAAAGTAATGGCAGATTAACTCAAGATAACTGTTTTAGAGGAAGGGAGTGAGAAGGGACAGAAGCTGGATTCACCCACAACAAGCCATGGTTGCCAGTCTTTTGCTTGGTGAGATATGGAGTCCACATTATAAAGAGATGATTTAGTAGCCCCAATGCCCCAAGCCTTATCCATCCTGGTCTGTAGGTGAGCAATTGTATATTTTGCCAAAATATTTGCTTGTCAGATAAGGTTCTTCTGTTGAGTGGTCTTGGTCCCGTGGACACCAACCTTTTGCTTTTTCCAAGCAAATGAGAAGTTGGAAATAGATTACCTCAAGGGATCCAGGACTTTATCTGTCCAAAAACATTCTGGAAAAATATTCTGCAGTCCATGCCATTAAGAAGAGGCTTGGAATGCTCCCATTTCCTAAATTTTGGACCTTGTCTCCTCTTCTTTAATGATCGCAGCTGCAGAATAGAGCATATTCAGCCTACTTCTTATTTCACAGTGCACATATGCGCACAACACAAATAGAAGGGAAAGCAGAAATACAACAATAGAAGAATAGAAAAAAATAGATGCCTCTTATTTACCCACTGCTGGTAAAAGGATGGGAAAGCATTCTAGAAGTTATGTTCATCATTTTTCCCCACTGTGTTTACATATATCCCAAACTCCTTATAACTGCTTTAATTACAGGTCTTGCTTTTATTTGTGAAATGTTAATGGTTTGCTTAACTGTGTCTTATTTAACAAGCTATAACTAGTTGGGTTTATACAATAACAGTGTAAAGTATTGTAGTGATAGCAGTGTTCCAGTATCTAAGAGGCTGCCACAAAGAAGAGGGGGTCAACCTATTTTCCAAAACACCTTAAGGCAGGACAACAAACAATGGATGGAAACTAATCAAGGAGAACAGCAACCTAGAACTAAGGAGAAATTTCCTGACTGTGAGAACAATTAATCAGTGGAATGACTTGCCTCCGGAAGTTGTGGGTGCTCCAACACTGGAAGCTTTTAAGAAGAGCTTGGACAACCATTTGTCTGAAATGGCATAGGACATGGGTTTCAAATGAATGCCGCATCACGTGATATGTCATATCACGGCTTTTTTTGCATTGCCGGAGCTGGGGTGGGCGCAGCCTCCGTGTGATGCAACCGGCCTGTGGGTTGGCAGTTTGACACTCCTGCTTGAGTAGAGGGTTGGACTAGAAGAGCTTGAAAGTCCCTTCCCACTCTGTTCTACTGTTATTCTGTTATGCTAAACCATAAATCATGATATATATAAATACTAAACTCTGGGGCTACCCAGCAAAATAACTACAAATAAGCAAGGTGTCAAGACTGCTAACATTGGATGTTCTTGCTTGCCATATACGAAGAAGCAAACATATTTTATTTAACCTGCATATCACTTCTAGAGTTAAAGTCAGACAATGTTAGAATAGCAGGTGGGAAAGTATGTACTCGGGGGATAGTTAGCCACAACAATATTTCAGTACAATATTTCCAAGGTCAGCTGTAATAAGAGGAGTTACGGAAGGGAAAGTTCACGCTTCAAACTAATTGGAGAACGTGATTGATGACTGTTAAATGAAGGAGTGAGGTATGCTTTGTTACGGGTGATTGAGGGAGGGAGGATTCAGTTTTTGGCTTCATTATGTAGGTGCTGAAGCTATGAAGCAATAAAAGGATTCTTTAAGGTAAACAAAGCTTCAAAGTTCTTTGAAAAGCTGCTTCTTTCGGAACCATGACACAAGGTACATAATGGCTTAATGTAATACATTTGGTAAACCAATCCTTATTAGGGCTCAATATGTTGCAATCATAATTAGATATCAAGTAAAAATTAGTCAGCAGTACTATAGTGGCTTAAGAGATTTTTCCTTGATTATGTAGTTTATGAGTCAAACTGTATGTGGTGTATTTGTAATTTGAGCATCCTCAAAATATTCAGGAAAAAAAATGAAAATCCAGTTTGAGAAGCCAACAAGTAAATATAATACTATTTTTTATTAGCTTTGATATTTTACCATTTTTATTTTTAAGACAAGATTTTTATCAGCTCTAATCCCAACACAGATCTGACAGTGCTAGATCTTGTTCTTATGCAGAAGGCTATACAAAAAGGAAAAAAGTATTTTTCCTGATGAAGATTAGTAGTTTTTTCTTACTATTTACTCCCCACTTTTCAGAATATTACTACCATATTTTCAAAAAGATAATAGTCAATTGGTTCTCTTATTCGAAGATATTATGAAGAGAGCAATATACCCTCTATATCTATACCATCTCTCCCAATTGCTATTGCCTTGTGAGTCGTGTTTTATTTTTAAAAGAATACACTTGTTTCCTCTGTTACATTAACGACTAATACCCTCACTTTACAAATCCAGCTAACATGCAGTATTATTGCCATTAGTAGCAAGAAGTCATTTAAATAAGAATATGAGAAAGTCATTTACAACAGTGATTCAACAAACAACTAGCTATCTAAAGAGATACAAGAGAGATTTACAAATAAAATGAGTTAAGAGCGTTTAGGAGATAACATAAACATTTACTTTTCTACTTCATTATAGATAGGTGGCAAAATTCTTCTTGACTTTGTCTTAACCCATGGATGTTCCATTATTCCTTTCAGAGGAAGTCTCATAGAAGGTGTACGGTTAAGAACTTTAGCAATTAGATCCATGGCTCCCTCTGATATCCAAGGAGGAAATTTAAAATTCACCTTAAAATAATTTTTTAAAAAGTTAGATTTTGTTATGAAAGCAATTATATTGTGCAAAGTTTAACTGAACCATGGTCTGCTTCTCCAACCAATCTGTCTGGTTTTTTTTCTGTTTGACTGACAACACTTGTTGCTGCTTCTCCTGGTACAAGACTTTCTGCTTATGGTATGGCATGGGTGTGTAATCATCAGCTCAAGGATCACATCAGGCTTTTTGTGGCATGTTGAGACCCACTGTATTTGTGGATGCAACCAGGGCCCATTTGCAAGTTTCATAGGATAAGATGAATGCCACATTTCCTGTTAAACCCACCAGCCTTGTGCTGGATCAGGGTAATGTGCTGGATCAGGGTAATATATATATGGCCGGAGCATATATTGGCTTGAGATCTGTATGTTAGAATGTTTGGCATTTAAAGGGTTAAGTGCTGTCTTCTTAAGAGATGGCTTATGGGTAATGTAGTTTAGCTGTTCAGTGAATCCTATGTTAATAAATCACTGGGAGGGGCTACTAAGTTCATCACAGGATATCCTGGCTACGTGCCAGCTCGTGTTTAATTGTCTTTGTGCAAACCAACCATGCCGCATGCATGGACATCGTATGTAATCAGGCTAAAATGAATGTGGAGGAATTACTGATTTTACCGACGTAAATGGGCAAATGTTCAGCTTCTGGATGCATCTTCAGAAATGTAAGTTTCTGTTAAGGATTCCCAGATTAAATATTTGTTTAAAACCATTTTGTTGAGTTGTCCCTGTCTGGTCTTGAATTTCAAAGCATCTTAGTTCAGGATCCAGAACAAGCCTTGATTAACACAAAAGAGGGGCCATATTTTTTAGCCAACCATCTCTGAAGACCACAAAAGGGATACTACATGTAACCTTTAAATCGTATTTTTTGCACTCTTATTGTAAACCAATAGAAGAGAATATTTTTAGCTCAGGGTTGAACAGTGGGGTCCTTGGTGCTCTCTGAGTTTGGTAACTTTGTTGCAGGTGTTTCATGACCAAACCAGGTAATATTATCAATGCTAGCACTGATGTTGTTACTTAATTTGGTAGTGAAACATCTTATTGTAAAGTTTCTGAAATTATTTCTGAGATTTTTGTCATATGAATAGAACAAGGCATGTGTGAGTTCCTCCTGGTCTCTTAAATGTAATCTGAATGTTGGTATATGTTCATGAATAGACATAACATCTGGCCATGAGTTTCCAGTTACTGTTGTAAGTACTATCTCACTTACAGGCCTTTGGTTTGGAAGAACATACCTCCTTTATTCGTCTGAATGTCTCCATACGAGTGGGTGCTTCAAAAGGTGCATATCCTGCAAGACACTCATAACAAAGAATGCCAACACACCACACATCAACATTTTCATCATGGGGACTCCCTTCTATCATTTCTGGAGCAAGATAATCTGTGGTGCCACATAGTGTTGTCCTCCTATTTAAAAAGAGAAACAAGAAAAAAATACAGTGTTCAAATGATTGCATTTGTGATTTCTTTTCAGTCACTATTTAGTAAAATCCAAGTGAAATTAGAGATTCAGCAAAGCCTAGGGAAAAAAAATCCAGATAACTGGTCATTTCTTTACCCACAGAAAAGGCCAAAGATTAGCAATACTGTAGCACAAGTATTTTGCACATATAAATGCCATTTGATCTCTGGATACTCTGCTCTAGAAGCCTTATCATGGCTGGGGAACTATTTAGACAAGAACATTTTGATTAATAAAATTATTTTATCCTACGGGCCAATTAATAGCATTTTAATACAACATGCTACAGAAACAGCAAGGCACCCAAACCAGAGCCAAGCAGCTTGAACAAAACAATTAACTATTTTCCACACACAGAGTCTGTCAAAACTGTAAACATTGGATGTTCCTACTCTGACAACTGATGAAAATTGCCGCCATTTTCTCTTTGTTTTTAACATGCTTTTTCTGGTGTTTAGAAATCAGGAGCAGAAAGGGGGGATAAATGTTCGAGCTCAGCTAGCCATAATAATAGCGCTGCTTTGTGGGAACCCAGGGATAAACTGATAACGTTTTGGTGGGCTTAGGAGCTGGGGAGAAAGCCTGCATTTTAGGCTAACTGGAGAATGTGATTTATAACAGCTTCTTGGGGGTGGGAATTGCACTTTATTACTTTGTATCCTGGGGAAGGGAATTTAGTTTTTGGGTTCAACTATGTAGTGCTGATACTTTGTTTCCTGAATAAAATATTCTTTAAGGAAGAATTTTTGCCTTGAAGTTCTTTTGATGGGTTTCATCTGTCTGAACCATGACAGTCTGTTCATTTAAAGGCAGAATTATTAAGGCCAGATAGACTGGAGTTCAAAAACATCCCAGGAGAAAACAGTACTTCCATACTATTACAAAGAAGACAACACAGATGTGTCCTTGTAGCCACAAAAAATACCGCTTGAATTGTGGGAGACCAGGTGGATGACTGTCTGTTGGCAACAAGGATCTGTTGGCTCTATCACTTGATCTACCAGCCATATCTCATATTTGGATGTGGGAAAGAAAGGCAAAACAGGGCTTTGGACATTGATCCAAAATGCATGGATAATAAGTAAAGAAGGAAACAGATTGGAACATTATTTGGGTTAATTATCTGAATTGTCATACCCAGTGCACTCATATTTTAAATAAAGTTGTGCAGAGCTGATAGCTTAAAAGATCTTGATCTATGCTCCAGAATTTGAAATGCTCTCCTAGTCCCAAATTCACCATGCAAAGACATCCCAGTTTCACATGAGTTAAGATAGTCTGAATTTCGCTTATAGGCCATTTTCTTTATAAAGAAATGCATGTCAGCAAGCGACCTACCTCAGTGAAAGCGTATGCACTGACCAGCCAAAATCCGCCAACTTCAACTCTCCTCTTAATCCTAAAAGGAGATTTTCAGGCTTGATATCTCTGTGGATCACTTTCTGAGCGTGGCAGTACATCAGAGCATCGGCTATTTCTTCAATGTACTGTTTTGGTACATCATGTGTTAAAATATAGCAAGTAGTTAATGTCAGAGCTCAATTTCCAACACATTAGCTATAATATAGACACTATATATATGTACCTATCTTTTACACCAAGGAGTTTTCTTCTCATCAGTGCAACTAATGCCTTTGCCATGGTGTTAATTTTAATCTAAGCAGTTGCAATATCACATAAGATATTTTGCTATGGAATTGAGGAGAACTAAAGAAGCAGAAAACTCTCAGCTTCTTTTGTTCTTCCTTCAGATTATTTATCACCTGTTTTCTCTGCAAGGCTCCCAATGCAACATCAATGACTCTCAATATTATGATTACATCTCATTAATCCAATTATGTATATATTTTAACACATTCAATGTTTTTCTTATATCTTGGTTCTAACAGAATACAATAGCTAAAAGATGGGAAGGGAGGGAGGGAGGGAGGGAGGGAGGGAGGGAGTAGGATGAGCAGTGGTGGTGGTGGCATCTTATATTAATCTATCAACACCCCCAACATGAAGCCCCTCCTTTGAACCCTCAAGTCAACTGGCAGAGCAAGGTACAATCTTTAAGCTCTTGTGGAAGGTCAGGAGGGTTGGAGCCGACCTCACTCCACAGGGTAAGATATTCCAGAGGGCATGTGTAATAGCAGAGAAGGCACTTCTCCTGGATGCCGCCTGCCGGAATATCCTGACCAATGGGCCTGCAGCATGCCTCCTCTGCCGGCACAGGTGGGATGGGGCCAGTGCCAGTGGGATCAGATGATCCTGCAAGTAGCCTGGACCCATGTCATGAAGAGCTTTAAAGATAATTACCAACACCTCGAATTGAACCTGGAAGCAAACAGCTTGCAGAGCAGTGGTATTACATGGGCCAATCTTGAGGCTCCGAAAACTCTGTGCCACCTTGCTCTGCAGCAGCTGTAGCTTCTGAAAACTCTTCAAGGGTAGCCCATGTACAGCACATTGCAGTAGTCCAAACACAAGATGACCAGGGCATGAATGACTGAGTGCAGTGATTCAGAACACAGGAGTCGCAAGTCCAGATGAACCCCCAAGTTATGGACCAAATCCGTCTGGGGCAGTGCTGCCACATCCAGAAATAAAGATGTAAAAATCCTGGATCTTGGGGCTCCATGCACCCAAAACCATTCGATCTTGCCAGGGTTCAGTCAAAGCCTGTTATCCCCCATCCAGACCCCGCACAGCCTTTAGGCATCATGAGAGGGCAGAAGCAGCAGCACTTGGATTACCAGGAATGGAAATATAGAGTTGAGTATCAGTAGGATATTGAAGATACCTCAATCCATGGTGACAGATGATCTCACTCAGTGGCTTCATGTAGATGTCAAAGAGGAGTGGAGAGAGCAAGCTCTGGGGCACGCCACAAGAGAAGGGTTTGGACTGGATCTCTCACTCCTATTCTCACTGATTGGGACCAGCCTTGGAGAAAAGAGCTGAATCAATGTAACCCAGCCCCTGTCCCATAGCCAACTCAAAAGCATATAATGGCCAATGATATTGAAGGCTAGTGAGTGGTCAAGGAGAGCGAGGATGGTTGCCCTACCCCCCCCCCCCATCCTGTTCTCATTACCCAATTCTGTGATTATTGGTATCTCAGACAAATATATTATGATTACTTGTAATTAATCCAATTATGTATATATTTTAATGTTCAGTGCTTTTCTTATGTTTTGGTTCTAACAGAAAATATTCGTCTAACAGGATAGTACTTACAGTGGCCGTTCTATTATCATCAAATCGATTATTTTTTTGTAACTCCTTGTACAGCTCTCCCCCTGGAGCATATTCCAGCATCAGAAAAATCCGTGTCTTATCGTGAAAATAGTTATACATTCTTAAAATGTTTGGATGTCTAGAGAGAGCATGGGGGGGGGGGAGGGAAATGGGAAGAAATTTACAACTGTGATTGGTGATCCAAAAGGACTTATTAGAAAATTGACTTTAGAAAGGAATGTTGATAGACACTCCTGTCTCAAGGATAGTCCACAAAAGTTAGGGGATAATCTAAAAAAAAAGTCCACTTCCAACTTAAGGAAGGGGACAAACTACTTTTGATTTTAAAAGGCTGGATTAGTTTGAGATTGAGGCACTAATTTGGAATCCGCGTTAGGGCCATGCACTACAATTTTTTTAAAGGAAGTTTTGCTTCAAAGCTTCAGTTGAAGCAGCTTTTTAAGTGGCACTTCCCTTCAGAACAGCTGCACTGTTTTGTTCTGAATACTCATGGAAGCTTTTGTCTATGAGGTAGAAGAAACTATCCAGATCATGAGGCAATGTCAAAACTATTCTGCACAGATCTAACAATTTTTTCAATGTTTGGAAATACTATCTTGCTCTAAAGGGATGGTGAGCAGTGGATTTTGGCTGTATGCTGAAATAGTACAGCCTCTAGCTATGCTCTATGTTTATATTTCAAGTAACTGTTTCTAAAGCCATATTTTCCAATGATCTAGTTCCAAAGGATAGAGTTAAAGCGGCAATAGAACAAGGATAACTCCCTCCAACTAAAAGCTAAACATTCATCCCATGTCATTCCAGCTGGGTTACCTGAGATGACTTAAGATTTCTATCTCTCTCCGAAGCTGATGTTCCATCTGAGCCTTCTCCAAGACAGACTTGAATATTACTTTTAAAGCCAAGATGAAGTGGGTCTTTTTCTCTCTGGCCAAGTAGACTGCTCCAAATCTCCCTTTCCCAAGTGGTTTGCCGAATTCAAAATCCCCTGTGCCCCATATTTTCCTGTAACCCAGAGGTGAACATGAAAACTAATAATGCTTTCTTTACCAACCAGATCAATATAATCAACTCTAGCATGGGCTGTTCCTCACATTTCCATTAACTATCTACCATACTGACCTTTTTTCTTCATATTTGGAGTTAGTTTTCATATTTATAGAATCAAAGAGTTGGAAGGAAACTAAGAGGTCATGAAGTCCAACCCATTACACTGTGCCTGTCAGATGATTATTCAGCATGTGGTTGAAAACCTCTAGTGAAGATGAAGGAACTACTCTGTATGGTGACCTGTTCCATGAGTGACAGTTTTTACTATGTTTTCCAAATGTCTTATCTGTTTCTACATCCTTAAAGGTTTTTTCTTCTCCTCCCATTGATTCGAGCCTCAGCTTCTGGAACAAATGAGAATAAATCTGGATCCTCTACCATGTGATAGCTTTGACATACCTGAAGAAGTTATTATGTCCCCTCTCAATCTTCTTCAAACTAAATGTATCTAGATCTTTCAACCATTCCTGTAGAACTTAGTTCTAACAGAAGAATAGAATCAAGATCATGTGAAGTATTAATACCACTTTACAATGCCTTGGTAAGGCCACACTTAGAATACTGCATCCAGTTCTGGTCACCATGATGTAAAAAAGATGTTGAGACTCTAGAAAGAGTACAGAGAAGAGCAACAAAGATGATTAGGGGACTGGAAGCTAAAGCATATAAGGAACGGTGGCTGGAATTGGGTATGTCTAGTTTAACGAAGAGAAGGACAAGGGGGGACATGATAGCAGTGTTCCAATATCTCAGGGGCTGCCACAAAGAAGAGGGAGTCAAGCTATTTTCTAAAGTGCCTGAGGGCAGGACAAGAAGCAACAGGTGGAAACTAACCAAAGAGAGAAGGAGCCTAGAACTAAGGAGAAACTTCCTGACAGTTAGAACAATTAACCAGTGGAACAACCTGCCTCCAGAAGTGGTGAATGCTCCAAAACTGAAAGTTTTTAAGAAGAAACTGGACAGCCATTTGTCCGAAATGGTATAGGGTTTCCTGCCTGAGCAGGGGGTTGGACTAGATGACCTCCAAGGTCCCTTCCAACTTTATTATTATTATTATTATTATTAGTTGTAGAACTTAGTTTGCAGTCTTTTCATGATTTTGGCAGTCTTTCTCTGGACCAATATGGAACTATTGAATCATTGTATGGAGGAGATCAGACATAATTATTAACTATATTTGATTGTTAGTTGCCAGGTAAAATGATGAGATATAAAGTGAAATTTTATTTCATTTTACATATTTTCATCTGAACAGTTTCAAGACAAAATACATTTGCCCAATTTTCCTAGAGATTTTTTTTAAAAAATAAGAACCATGAAATATTTTAGGGAGGTTTTACTTGTACTTGGGATACTGGCTGGGGAATCCTGGGAGTTGAAATATATAAATAATGGGGTTGCCAAGGTTGAGAAACACTGATATACAGTAGATAAACAGTAGCTTACAATATGGCATTATCAAAAGCACATTGTGCTAGTAAGGCAAATACTGTAAGTGAGGAAATGGCCTAAGTAAACCATATTATAGAGGTGGACCAATAATAAAAAGGCATGGGTACTCCAAATAATATGATTTGGATTAATTGTGGACCAAATGGAATATGGAATATGAAGCAGTCTGAAAGAAGCAATTGATTTGCAAAGAAAGAATGAAGAGCAAGCATAAAACATCTGTGCTGTATACAGAGATACATTTTCCAGTCAAAAAGCAAACCTAAAATATGGAGGCTTCTTCATGCAACATTTCTTTTCTACCTGTAGAGTTTCTTAATAGTTACCTGGGAAGTTGAGAATCAGGGACATTGTTGGTACTTGCTTTTGATTCACTTTTCTCCCCTGCCAAATAAATTTGCATTGATTTACGAATATGGTAATCTTTATTATCTAAAAAGCTTTTGCTTGTAATAGTTAATATTTATATTAGAGGCCTCCTTTGGTTCCAGTCAAAAGCCTTTCTGCTTTAGCATTCCCTAACTCTGTAACCACAGATGGCAGGAGAATTCTACAAATATATGGCAGTATCACTTGTTTATGATGTCCAAGAGCAGTATTGATATGATCATAGTCCGCATGATAATTCATAGCTACATATTCGCCATAAGTTAATCTAGTCCTCCTTTAAAGCTCGTAGCTAGGTAGCTATATTAGTATCTCTATCCTGAATTTTCTTTCATTCAGATTTACTGGATACTCCTGTATTCTAGTATTAAGAGAAAGTGTGCATCTATGTGTACTGCTGCACATTTTCTATGCATTAGGATGAAGACAACCATAAGAGTATAAGAATCTGATTGAGCTTAGTGAGATACAGAGATCAAAAACCAAAATAAAAGATCAATACACTGGGGGGCAGATGAGAAGAAGACAGTATGAAAAAATATAAAAGAAGAAAAAGGTCAGAGACTAATTTTAACCTTTGGATAACTATTGGTCAAGAAATAACTGATTTTCTTTAAGTTGTTGAAGGCAGTTATTACTTCATAAGATGGATTACTTATTAGTATACTTAGATACAATAAATTACCCAAATCTGATTAAATTGTTATATGACACCTGTAGTAACATACCCATTGATTCTATTCTTTGTCTTTTAGGAGATTCTTGAAGTTTGGAGACAATCCTCCCTGAAATCTGCAGATGAAGAAAGAAGTACTATTAAGCTGCTTCTTCAAAGTTCTCTGTTGCATAGCAGAACAAGTGGTTTAATAGCACATGGCTGCGCAAGCAATCCAAGAGATATTTATATAACCACAGTTGACAGCAAAAACTTTAGGAAAAGAAGAAAACAAAACTCAAAAAATAAAAAATAAATTATAGGTTTTATTTAAGTTTAGTGCAGAAAGTAAAAAGAAGATGTAAAGGGGCTAAAATGCACCCCATTCAAAACACTATAATTTGAGGTCTAAAGTTTGCAAATGGTCAAGGAAAATCTTATTTGCATCTCCCAATCCCCCCTTTTTCTTATGAATACCTGCTTCAGCTCTTATTTTGGAGCCAATATTAAAACTAATTTGATAGATTGGTAATTAGAGATTGCAGTGATGTATTTTGATGCAGTGTTCCTTTTGCATCTATTACTAGAAAATTATAAAAAAAAGTTTTTTGTATATGTTTACATAAACTTGATTTTATATATTCTATTTATTTTTACCTCCATACTGCCAAATCCACAGAGTCATAACAGTATTCAAAGAAATATTATAAATTACTGAAATGACATAGTAAAAGCTTTATAGTTTATTAGAAATACTGGTTTCAGTATAGACAACTATCGGAAAGGTGGAAGATAGATTACAAGGTGGGCTTGTTTAGAGAGGATGAGAATTTGTTAAAACAAATCAGAGATCAAAGTCGAACTCACATTAAAAGAATTTATGGTGTGTTAGTGGAATTGGATTCAGAAGCAGAGTTAGTTAAAGACTGTATGGTTAAGTGGGCACAAAATTTTGATGAACCGATTCTATTAGACACATGGGAGATTATTTGGGTGAGGAATGTCAAATTTACACAAGCCCAAAACCTACGGGAAATTTTTTATAAAATGTTTTATAGATGGCACCTTGATCCACAAAAAATGTCTCGTATGTATTCAAACCTGCAGCCTAAATGTTGGAGATGTGGTTGCTTGGATGCCACTTATTATCATAGTTGGTGGTCATGTAAAAGTATAAAAGCTTTTTGGATTAAGATATGGTGGAATATTCAAAGAATTTTTAAAAGAAGGATAAAATTTACTCCACAACTGTTTTTGTTGGGTATTGTTTCGGATTGTGATGATAATGAGATTATTTTAATGTTAAATTTAATTACTGCGGCTAGACTGTTAATAGGGCAATATTGGAAGAAGGAATTTTTGCCTACCTTGCAAGAATGGTTTTTAAAAGTATCTTATCTAGCGGAAATGGCAAAAATTTCGGCTTTCTTGAAAGATCAATCGCAAGAGAAGTACCTCTTGGTGTGGAAAAGATGGATAAATTTTATACAATATAAGTATGATATAAGAAAATACCATCTAGCTTTTGAATAACTTATATTTAAAGTTTAAGATATTTATGTAGAAGTGTAATTATTATTATTCTCTAATTTTTCTTTTCTTTTTTTATCTTTTTTTATTTTATTTTCCTTTCTGTTTTTTATATACAATGGAGTTAAAGTATGTCATAATCTGTTTATTGAGTGTAATGATATTGGTTTAAGGTTTATTTGGGTTTAATTTTTTTTTTCTTTTAAGTTCTAGTTAAGCCTGTATTCAGCTCTGGGAAGAATGAGGGAGGGTTTTGGGGAGGGTTGGGAGGGATTGGGGAAAGGGTTTTTATTGTAAAATTTTAAAAACTTTTAATAAATAAAAAAAAAGAAATACATAAGTTACCCTGGATTTGTGTCAGTACTCTGCATGGATGTTCAATTATCTAGTGGATATACTGAGATACCTGGACAGCGTTATGCTGGCTTGTGAGCTAGTTTTCTATTGTAAAGATCCTCATTTGCATTGAATAGAGCAGTGGTTCTCAACCTGTGGGTCGGGACCCCATTTGGGGTCGAACGACCATTTCACGGGGGTCGCCAAACAACGCAGTCTGCCATTTTTTCCCCCTTTTCCTTAGCTGTGCTACTCCCTTTTATTCTATTGGCTTTTGAAAGCCAATAGAATAGACTCTCTTGAATAGAGTCTAATTCTATTGGCTTTCAAAAGCCAATAGGAATTGTCCAGGCTGTCTCTGCCCTGCTGAGCCCGCCAAAAGTCCCATTCTGCAAACGGTGCTGCACCAGTTGAGTAGTCCTCGACTTACGACCGGTTGAGTAGTCCTCGACTTACGACTGGTTGGGGGTTGCGGCATTAAAAAGGTTGAGAACCACTGGAATAGAGGGCTATGCTTGAACCAGAATTGCCTTTTGATTGTGCAGGAAGTTCTATATGAAAAAATAGAAGTAATTAATCTCTCAGCTGAATGGAAAATGGATATAAGAAAACAGAATGGGGAAGCTGCTTGGAAGATTGAGAAGAATTATGTTATACTGCACTAACATTAGTATAGCTAAGGATGGCATAAGCCTGTATAGCTAAGGATGGCATAAGCCTGTCTAACTCGGATGGATATGAAATCATGGAGACAACAACAGCAAAATGTTGCTAGGACATGTTGATGTTGAAATTAAGCACAATCAGGAAAAGACTATCAGAGCAACTTTAGAGTCCACAATTAAATTGCTGTGTTGAAAATGACATATTTTTGTTTTTTGATTAGTAGAACCTATGGATTTTAAATATCCTGGGGCAGAACTCAAGTGGTTGGCTTCTAAGCACATACAACAGAGAATTCCAGCTTTTATGCCTACATGAAAATGATGATGCTGATTTGAAATATGCAATGCTGGAATCAGGTCTTGCCCTGAGCCATAATTTACTGAGTACATTGACCAATGAACTGGGTTTAATATACCACATTTAGCATAAATTGCTAGTGTGAGAAGTTTTATATCCAAATATTAACAGAATTCACAATGGTCTGAGAATCAGTATCTCCACTAGATAATTGACAGTCAAGCTGAAATTAATCAACTAAAACTAGCAAACCCCCAAATAGGTTACCCAGACCTAATTCACATAACAAAGGATAAGGTCTGTAAACAGAATTAATTAAATTAGCTCTCCCAGAGTAACTGTATGTTCACAAGAATAAATATACGTACCTACAAACACACACACACACACACACACACACACACACACACACACACACACACATCCCTCAAGTGTCACCCTAGAATTAGCACTTAGACACTTCACCCCGGACAAGGTCCCCCTATAAAAATCTGCTGCAGTACCCCATTTCTCTGCAGCTGCCCCTACATGCAAACTGTTTTACTTTTAGGAATAAATATTTCTTCTTTCTTCAGAGCTGTCTGGATCTCTTTTTTATTTATTCTTGTGCAATCCTGGCTCCAGTTGGAATCCCAAATTATTCTTCTGATACTAGATTTGCCCATTGTGCTAAATCACACCAAACAAATCAACGTATCACTTAGCACATGTGACTCCAGCTGTAAAGCAAGTCAGGTACAGACACATTCATTATTCTGCTACTCTGAACACATGGGGTGACAATTCACAAAATAACCCTGGCTTTGTGACCTACTATAAAAAGATACAATCCATTTGAATTATTCAAACAACAAAGAGCAAAGCAAACGCTATCCAATATATTAATGTTAAGTGTCATAAGAGAGCATGCCTTGAGACCCAGTTTGGTCTAGTGGTTAAGGCACCAAGCTTAGAAAGCAGAAGACTCTTGAGTTCAAGTCCCACCTTAGCTATGAAAGCCAGCTGGGTGACTTTGAGCCAGTCATTCTCTCTCAGCCCAATTGACCTCACTGGGTTGTTGTGGGGAAAATAGGAGGGGAAAGATGTTCTCCCTCGTCTAGGCTGGACAGGTGCTCACTTACCATTTTCTTGCGTATCCTAACTTGTGTTTCTATTCTGTTTTTTATGGCACTATTTTTGATAGGTTGGTCTGTTTTTTTCCTTTGTGTAAAGGATACAAAAAACGAGTTAAATAGTTCTGCTTTCTCCCTGTTGCTTGTCATCTTCTTGCCACTTCCACCCACTAATGGACCAATCATTTCCTTCACTTTTTTCTTGTTTTTTACATGTTGAAAGAAGCTTTTTTTGTTATTTTTGACTTTGGTCGCAAGCCTTAGTTCATTTTGAGCCTTGGCTATGTTTGCTGTTGGCTATGTTTGCTGCCTTGGGTTATTTGTAAAAATAATAAAGGTGGGATATAAATAAATACATACTGGTACATACATAAATTTGAATAAAATATTAACACTATAAATCTGAATAGTTATTTCTCTTGCTTAAGAATTCTTGTGCATTGCTTTAATCCTATTACCCTTAAAAAAGCCTAATTTACACACTACACTGAGCCATAATAGTTAACCATAATTTATGTGGTTGGTAGATTCACACAGTACACTATATCATATCCCAGTGGCTGAGTTCACACAATACTAACCCAACATTAAACAAGCCATATTATGGCTTAATTACAGTGCACTTAGCATGTACGTATCTTGTCACAACATATTACCTAACAGAATAAGTCAGCTTGCAAAACTCCTTGAAATTCCAAGACACCAAGAGATGATTGAGGAATCTTACCACAACTTTCCTACTACAGCTGGAAAAAGAATTACCTGGAAGCCTTATTTTCTCAAATCAAGAATAATATGGAAAGGCAACTTCTGATTGGCCAGGGTAACTGTCTTTTCTATATTAGATACCTGCCCACATTTCTCTTCTTAAAGATAGATGGATTTGGTTCTCCTTTGCATTACATCATCTTTGCTGGCCTCACTGAGTATTAGCCACTGGAGGGCAGAGCAGCACTGTCTATTCCAGATAAGCAACCTCCTCTTAGCTGTGGTGAAAATCTGTTGTCATAGAATAGAATAGAATAGAATAGAATAGAATAGAATAGAATAGAATAGAATAGAATAGAATAGGACCTTGGGGGTCTTCTAGTCCAGCCCACCCACTCAAGCAGGAAAATCTATACCCACGGTGGTGAACCTATGGTATGTGTGCCACAGCTGGCATGCAGAGCCATCACAACATTGCCACAGACAGAGGGACACAGGGCCGGGCTCCTCCCCTCCCCCTCTCCATGCATGCGGAGTCTGGGAACAGCTGTGAGAGCTGGGCGGGATGAGCAGTTTTGGTGGGAGAGTGAGTAAGCGGCCTTTGGAAGCGACCAGTGGTGGGTTTCAAATCATTTAAGAACCGGTTCTCTGCCTCGCCTTCCCTCTGTCTTGGTTGGGCTGGGCTGCAAGGGGGGTCAGCTGGGGTGGGTGCAGGAGGGTGGGAGTCATCAGGTCCCAGCTGGGGGAAGGCGAGGAGGTCTGGTGAGGGGGTGGGTGGGAGGGCTGGGACACCTCTGCGGAGGAAAGCCACCCCCTCCGTCGGCCTCTCATCCACACTGTGGTCACTAGGATTGCATAGAAGGGGCACTGGGCAGGGGGCTGAGGGGGCGGCCAGCAGGGGGGGAATCAGAGCCGCCATTTACCTTCTGCAGTTCAGCCCCATCGGTGTGGGCGGAGACGGCTCTGGGATAGCCAGAAAGGAGCCGTCACCTGGTGCGGGCCCTGTCTACACGGTGGCTCTGATGGAGACAGTGGCTACTGCTCCTCCTGTTGCTCCAAGCCCCTTGACCAGCCAACCACACAGGGAAGCAGGAGGAGGCGGCAGTGATCCCTGCATCATCAAGCCTGGCTGGAAGTAGATCTGGAAGTGAAACTGTGCCACCCATCCTCGCACTGGTGGGCACAACAGTGGGGAAAGGTGAGCTCTTACCTAATCTGTACTTATATCTTTGATTTTCCCTGCCTAAATGTAAAATTTTGCTTTTCTCCACATTAAAACTCATTTTATTGGATAGGGCCCATTGTTCAAGTTTGTCAAGATCTTTTTGAATTCTGAGCTTATCTTCTGGGGTGTTGGCTATTCCTGCCAGTTTACTGTCATCTGCAAATAATTTGTAGCTTTGCCCTTATTATTTGGGGTTCATCAAAACTATGTCCAGGCATTGGCCAATTTGTTTTGTAACTTTGCTGGCCAGGATGTCTATAAAAAGTTAGTTATAAAACAGTGATTATAAAAGTTAGTTACAAAACAATGTTTCTCATTAAGGCACTATTTAAGGGCATCTGGAAACTAAATCATGACTCAAAATTCAGAATGATTTTTGCTGCCTGGTTGAGTGTCCAATTCTCTTGCACACTTTTAAAAATAATAACAGTAGCAGTAGAACAGTTATGAAAAACAGCTGCAGCCACTGTCACAACTTTTAAAAATTATATATAGAAAGTATTTTTCTATCTAGAGCAGTGGTTCTCAACCTTCCTAATGCTGCGACCGTTTAATACAGTTCCTCATGTTGTGGTGACCCCCAACCCCCCATCCAGCTGGCCGGGGGGGTATCAAAAACTTGACCCAAAAAAGAGAAAAAAATGGGAAAGTATAGGTAGTCCTCGACTTACAACAATTCGCTTAGTGACTGTTTGAAGTTACAACAGCACTGAAAAAGCGAATTATGATCATTTTTCATACTTATGATTGTTGCAGCATCCCCAGGGTCATGTGATTTACATTTGGATGCTTGACAACTGATTCATACTTATGACGTTCACTGTCCCAGGATCACGTGATCAATGGCCAGAGGGCATCGCCAGCTGATCACTCAGGTTGCAGAGTGCCTGGGGGGGGAATCTGTGGGTCTCTGGGATGGGACTGGGGTGGGTGCCTGCTGCCTTCCTTCCCTCCCTTCTCTCCCCTTGTCCCTTCCTTCCTTGTTTCCTTCCTTTCCTTCACCCTCTTAGTCTCTTCCTCCTTCCCTCCCTCTCTCCCATTGTCCCTTCCTTCCTTCTTTCCTTCCTTTCCTTCACCTCCCTTAGTCTCTTCCTCCTTCCCTTCCTCCTTCCCATTGTCCCTTCCTTCTTTCCTTCCTTTCCTTCCCCTCCCTCTTAGTTCCTTCCTTCCTTCCTTCCTTCCCTCTTTGTCCCTTCCTTCCCTCCCTTCCATTGTTCCTTCCTTCCCTCTCTCATTGTCCCTTACTTCCCTCCCTCTTCGTCCCTTCCTTCCTCCCCCCCTCCATGCCCAGGAAGAGACAAGGGGAGGGGGACAAGCTGCCAGAGGCAGAGGAGATCTCCGCCCAGCTCACTTGCTTAGCTTCACCAGAAAACAAGATGCTTGCTAAGTTAGCAGAAGCCCCAAGATCAGCACTGGGCTACAGCTGATTCGCGCTTCTGCTAAATTAGCAAGCGGCATGTTTTCTAGCAAAGCTCGAGCATGTTTGCTGGGCAGGAGCCAAGGAGAGCTGCTACAGCTGACCTGCTTCTTGGCTACTCTGCAGAAGCGCGGATCAGCTGTAGAGGTTTGTCCTGATCCTGGACAACAGGGAAGGAAGGAAGGACGGAAGGGACAAGGGGAAAGAGGGAGGGAAGGAGGGACAAAGAGGGAGGCGAAGGAAGGAAGAAAGGAAGGAAGGAAGGAAGGAAGGAAGGAAGGAAGGAAGGAGGAAGGAAGGGACAAGAGGAGAGAGGGAGGGAAGGAGGGACAAAGAGGGAGGCAAAGGAAAGGAAGGAAGGGACAATGGGAGAGGAAGGAAAGGAGGAAGAGACCAAGAGGGAGGGAAGGAAAGGAAGTTCCAGCCAGCAGAGGCTTGGCAGCCTGGCTGCTGAGAAACAGAAGAGCGCAAAGCCAAGGAGAAGAAGGTGGCGGTTTCCTCCCAAAGGGGGCTCCTTTTCTCCACCCCTTCCCTGGGTTTGTGGGGAATTTCTCATCACCAATGCTGACAGGTGCTCCTTCGAGCCCTCCACGAGCTTTCTCACCCCCTTTGCTTCTCCCCCCGCTTTCGTGAGGATTGTGGCACCCTTGGGAAGCCGATCGTGCTTTGAAGCTTAGGAGAGGAGGAGGAGTGCCTTCCTCCTTCCCTCCCTCTCTCCTTGTCAAGCCCCGGCGGGCTCAACATGAATGGGCGGAGGAGGAGTCGAGGACGGGCGGCGTGGCAAAGGAGACCGGCGGCCGTCGCCAGACCTCCCGGCTGACAAGCACAAGTTTGGGGGTCGCCAGCTGACGGGTGCAGGAGTTGGGTGCTGCAGCGGCCCCCCCTTCGCTGACCTGCATGCACGAAAAGAAGTCAATCTGGTTGCTGCACAATGAGTCTCTGGAGAGGGCAGGGCCTTGCTCTGCGTCTGCGCTCTTCATGCACCCCCTGAAGGGCACATTTGGTAGAGTTCGTGCAGACTGCCGCCAAGCAGCATATTTTCCACAAACAAGTGAGGTGGCATGGAGGGGGGGAGGGAGAGAAGGTGGTTGACAAGCCCTGCCTAAGACCATCGGAAATATGTGTTTTCTGATGGCCTTAGGCGACCCCTGTGAAAGGCTCGTGCGACCCCCAAAAGGATCACGACCCACAGGTTGAGAACCGCTGATCTAGAGCAAAACAAAATGGAATTGTATGTCAGTCTGACACCAGAAAGGAAAGAGATGCATGTTTTACTTTTTGCAAAAAACTCTTTTGGAAGAACTTTTGATAGCTTTTCATTTTCTTGGCTATATGCTTTTTTAAGAACATAATTTAGAGAACTTATATGTTTTGAGGAAGTTTTGAATAGGCTTCGATTTAGATAGGAAAAGGGCAGGGGTTGCTCCTCCTTCCCCAAACTAAACTCTTTTATATTTCACTAGGATCTATATTCTTTCTTTCTTTCTTTCTTTCTTTCTTTCTTTCTTTCTTTCTTTCTTTCTTTCTTTCTTTCTTTCTTTCTTTCTTTCTTTCTTTCTTTCTTTCTTTCTTTCCTTCCTTCCTTCCTTCCTTCCTTCCTTCCTTCCTTCCTTCCTTCCTCCTTACAAGAAGAAACCAGATGATTGCACAAAGATCTCTCAGACAAACTGAAAGACAAAAAGGACAAGTACAAAAAATGGAAAGAGGGACACATAATTAAGGCCAATTATCAGCAGACAGCCAGAACATGCAAAGACGAAGTTAGGAAAGCAAAGGCTCAGAATGAGCAAAGACTTGCAACAGAAATCAAGGATAATAAAAAAAAATTCAACATATTAATAACAAGAAAAAAGTCAAGGAAACTGTAGGTCTACTAAAGAGAGAGAATGGCAAAGAAGTAACAAGCAGTAGGGAGAAAGCAGAGCTGCTTAACTCATTCTTTGCATCAGTCTTCATACAAAAAGAAATTATAGTATAAAATACTAAAAAAAATACTGCAAAAGACAAACTAGGAACAAAGATTAAAATAAGCAAAAAAATGGTAAGAGAACACCTATCGGACCTTGACGAATATAAATCACTAGGACCCGATAGATTACATCCCAGAGTCCTGAAGGAGCTGGCAGATGTTCTCAGAACCATTGCATCATATCTTTCAAAAATCCTGGAGCACTGGGGAAGTACCTGAGGATTGGAAAAGGGCTGATGTGGTGTCCATCTTCAAGAAAGGAAAAAAAAACCCAGACCCAGGAAACTACAGACCAATCAGTCTAACATCAATACCTGGGAGGATCCTGGAAAAGATAATAATAATAATAAAAAAACAGATCTGTGAACAACTAGAAGCAAACAAAGTTATAACTGGTAGCTAGCATGGGTTTGTTAAAAAGAGATCATGCCAAAACAATCTAATTTCATTCTTTGATAAAGTGACCAAATTAGTAGACCAGCAAAATGCTGTGGACATAATATGTTTAGATTTCATTAAGGCATTCGACAAAGTAGACCACATCCTACTCCTTGGTATGCTAGAACAAGGTGGAATAGACAACATCACCACCACATGGATCTGTAGCTGGCTGGCAAACCGTACTCAACGAGTAGTCCTCAATGGTACTATAGCCACATGGAGAGAAGTAAGCAGTAGTGTACCACAGGGCTCTGTCTTAGGCCTAGTACTCTTCAATATCTTCATCAATGACTTAGATGAGGGAATAGAAGGGGAACTCATCAAATTTGCAGATGACAGCAAACTGGCAGGACTAGCCAACACCCCAGAAGACAAAATCAGGATTCAAAAAGATCTTGACAAGCTGAAACAATGGGCCCTACCCAACAAAATGAGTTTTAATGTGGAAAAAAGCAAAGTTTTACATTTAGGCAGGAAAACCCAAAGAGATTAGTACAGATTAGGTGAGACCTGGCTCAGAAACAGTAACTGTGAGAGGGACCTTGGAGTCCTAGTGGACAATCACTTGATTATAAGCCAGCAATGTACAGTAGCAGCCAAAACAGCTAATACAATCCTGGGTTGTATAAACAGAGGCATAGAATCAAGATCACGCAAAATATTAGTATCGCTTTATAAAACCTTAGCGAGACCACACCTGGAATACTGCAACCAATTTTGGTCACCATAGTACAAAAAAGATGTTGAGACCTTGGAAAAAATTCAGAGAAGAGCAACTAAGATGATCCAAGGCCTGGAGACTAAAACATATGAAGAACAGTTGCAGGACTTGGATTTGGTTAGTGTAAAGAAAAGAAGAAATAGGGGTGACATGATAGCAGTATTCCATTA